AGGAATGTGTTACTTCAGCATCAGGCCATTAATGTTTTCCCACATGCACCAGAAACACCCTGTACCACTGTGTTGGATGGGTCTAACACTAAAAATTGGTCCTTGGTGGACCATCCCTGATTACTTGGAGTGGGTATGCACGGCGGGGAGCTGGCAAGGCCACTTCTCCTAGTGCAAGCTGACCCCCTGCGTCTGGATGAATGTGCACGGGAAAAGGAAGCCAGCAGGCCACTCCTCTGGACGCAGGCTGGCCCCATATGTCAGGATGAGTTGGCACTTTCTAGGATATAAAAGGCCCGGGATTTGAGAAAGTTCAGAAGAGAGGAGGTAAAGAGGGGAGAAGAGGGAGATGGACCTTTGACGGCCAACGTTACGTCCGCGGGGACGCCCACAAAGTATGTGCCTGCCACCCTCTTTGCTTTCAGTGCACCTCAGAGCTGGCCTCCTGGTCATTGAAAAAATGTGTAGGTTGGTAAGAATCTGTGCCTAATCTGTTCTTTGGCAGCCTTTGGTTCTTTCTCTTTCTGGCTTGGGATATCTCTGGATTTTACATCTGTTTTAGATCTTGTAATAAACTTTCTAGTAGTTTGGGGTGTATATGTGTGGCTTACGTTCCTTCTCCACCCGGAATCCTTCGATCCCTGGAACAACCACACCTATACTTGCATCCTAAAGACACCTGTACCAAATACTGTCATTTGTCTACTAGAAGATGCAAAGTGCTATATAAAGCTTCTTAATTGTAAATGTTATTATGGCTTTATCACTTTCATTTAATACAGCCTGCGTTACTTTCAAGCTAATTTGGAAGCTTGTTTCACACTCTAAACCCAGTGTCTTATTCCCACTACTGTATTCGTGCCCTCTTCTAGCAGAACAAGTCTTCATTTAAGCATGTGGTGAACCACATGAGAGAACTGATCCATTTGAAAAGCCAAGTTTTTCTTCTTATTGTGTTATTTTTCTGATAGTTCAGTTCCCTTTAATGGTTTACAGAGCAGCCAAAAACCCGTTACACATATGCAATAGAAAAGAGGGAAGAGAGGTGGGGGGGAAATAAGCAGTTAGTTTAGGTGAAAGCAAGAATATTTTCTAGTGCAGGACTGACATACATCAGCTTAGCATGACATAGTGCCTGAGGACGACAGTGGTCATTCTAGTGATCATTTTTACCTGAAAAATGTACCTGCATGTTAAAGTATTCAAATACCACAAAAACATTGTTTTCATGGATTTTCAGTTTGCTATAATAGAGGTACTCCGGAAAAGAAGAGCATTAACTAAAGTACTAAGGATTGGGCTTTCTGATTTTCCAAGGTGCACATAGGTGCCTGTTTCCATTTTAATTGTTATCTCAGGGTTTGAGGCTGGTCAGTCATAGGTTACAAATTTTCATCTGATACCATCAGCAGAGAACTTTTTGTGTGTGAGATCAACTGTAGTAATCAGATACAACTCACAGGAGGATTTATGTAAAATAAGGATGTAAGTACATATAAAGTAACAGTGATGATCTGCCAGCAGTCCTTGGAAATAGCACATATCTGCTAGAGAAATTCAGAGGGAATTAACAAAAAAAAAATCTCTGTGTGCTTGGGAGAGTTCTGAAATTGATTTGCCTTCCAGTATCTTCAAACAAAAGTGTCAGTTACAGTTTGAATGCATATGGAATGACATGGCATGACCTTTTGTTCAGGAAATTTAGTACTTATCTTGCACTAAACCAGGGAGTGCTTTTCCCTTTTTAAGACTCGAGTATTTCCTGATTGATACACTTATCAAAATAATAATGAAATTATTGTGTACTTTAGATGGCTTTTGAACGTAATAGAGATGGTGCATTTGAATTGAGAATTACTCAGTAAATGCTTCATCTATAGCCCTGTCATCTAACCTGGGGGCTATTTGGATTGTCTTGTACTCAAGCCAGGAGGACCTTCTCTGGCAGTCCATTGTTGAAGATGATGCAAACAGGTGGCCATATTTTCCAGTATTAAGACTTAAGTGATTCTTTCATTCATTGAGTCTCTCTGATGGGACCAGAATCTTGTTACAACTCCATTTTTGTTTGTTGGGTTTTGTTGTTTTTTTTGTTAGAGTTGTTTTTTTAGCTTAGATTTCTGTGGGCATTTCATTATCTCCTGTGAAGAACTGAAAATGTCTTGTAAATTTACAGCTGACTTCAGTTTGTATCATTGAGGCTGTAGTCTTTTTCTTAGGGAGCTGGCCATTATCTCTGTTTCTGTTCAGTCATAGGAGGTTATGAAAGATAAAAGTCCCTGCTAGCTGAGCTGATCAGTTTGAAAGGAATGCGAAAGCCATGGTCTCATTCTGCTAGTGCCTCCTGTCCAAGTTCACACATCAGTTGACCTCAGCATGGCCAGACACAAAAAACTACAGATCCTTAGGAAATTGGGAAGTTATTTTTGAGAAGCTTTTTTTTTTTTCTCTTGTGCTCTTTCTCTGAGCATCCACTGTAGATTAAAAAGCTAGGACACTGTTGTAGAGGCGCCTTTGATCTGATGTATATCATAGAATAGTTAGGCCTGGAAAGGACCTTAAGATCATCTAGTTACAACCCCCGTGCCATGAGCAGGGATACCTCGCTGTGTCCCCCAAGGCTCTGTCCAACCTGGACTTGAACACTACCAGGGTATATGACTATTCTTATGTTCAGTTTCTGGAAATTGATGGAGAATCTTTCTCTTACAGTACTGCCAAGATTCCAAACTTCAGCTACGCTTTTTGAGTTTGAAGTAATAACAGCATATCATTCCGTTTCCAAATTATAGTACCAGACTACAAGATAGCATTATATCTGCTCTCTCTGTTATCTAATTCAGCTGTTAATAAGGAATTTTCCAGAAAGCCTAAAAGATAAATCCCCTAATGGAAAAGAACTGAGAGAAATCTAGATGGTGAATACATCTGTTGTTACACTGAGACCAGTTTATGGCTTACCTTTACCTCACATCATCTTTTGTCACACTTCCTGGAGCAAAATGAGATAATCATTTGAAACATCAAGAAATTTATCCCTTCTTTTTTTTTTTCCCCCTCTCTTTTGGGGAGGTAAGGAATTGAACTACTTTAGAGTAATGGAAGATTGTAGACAGGATGAGACCATTCAGTTCTAAGCGCTTTCAGCTATCTCTTAGCTAGCCTCATCAGAAAGGCTGCAGAGTAAAAATGCCTGTGGACTTCTGAGATCAGATGTTCAATCACTTTACCTCTTCAGAAGGAGGGATGCTAGAGTTTTATTCAAGACTGTCTGCATTGCCCAGACATTAGTTTGTGTTTTTGCACTTTGAATATAGCTGTTCTATTTTAGAGATCACCTGGACAGCAGACAACACCTTGGTTGTTGATGATGTAGTTAAAGTAAACACTTATCCTTGGCCTCTGCACCCAACATTCTTGATATGCCTGTCTGTTTGTCCTTATTGCAACAAGTATTGATGCAGGATCATTTGCCTTAACCTGTGAGCACCTTAGTCCAAAAATAGTGCATTTTTTCACTGTTACAGGCTTTGAAGTCAGTAGAGCATAGTCCTCTTTCACCTTTACTCAAAATGCCTAGTTCATAAAGGCTATCCTTACACCATTGCTACTCTTGAACACTTCCTGCACCAGGACAAATTATTCAATATGCTGAGCCTAAGTTTGATGGCTACAAACACTCTGCAGAGGATTAGCTGTGGTTTCATATTTGCACCTCTACCGTGCCTCTTGCACCTAAACCCCTTTCTCAGGTTGACTAGCTGCCTTTGCAGGAGTGACTTGATCTGAAATGTGGAGCCTATATAACATTTATTACAGTGCCTTGGGCAGAACCCTGTCTTTTTCAGGAAGGCAAGAATGTCTGGCACCTCCCATTTGTTGTTATAAATGTATTTTGACCATTTTTAGGCTTAAGGCTTTTGTATCAGTGGCTGGTGTCATTCCAAGATTAATGTTCAGATAATTACTGGAATGATTCAATTCCCAAACTGTGTGACTAGCATCTTTTCCAGTACCTGAAATCATCACAATATTCAGTTAGTGGACAGCACTATAGCAAGTTACTGAATGAAAGGCAAAATAGAATATACTCATTGCTTCTATTCTGAGAAGTACTTGGAAGAGCTACAGTTAATACATCATGTGGGACTCCACACTGGTTGAAAAATTCGTTGTATAGTTTTGGAGCGGAAGGTCTGTGGGCATCAGAAGTCTACTATGTATAAACTATGTCTTATGACTATGTTTGCTTAGTAAAAAGTACACTCCTATGCCATTCTAAAATTTGTTTTAACTGCCTGATACTTACAAGCTGGTGCCTAATTTTGCTCTCACATCACCAAGTTCCCTAATGAAGGCAGAATTGGATTTTCGTATTTGGGGGGGTGTGGGTGAATCAACATTTTTGGGAATTAATTTTCCTGAAAAGTTGTTTTCTGAACTGAAAATATTGTGGTTTGAGCAAAATGCATGCATGTGAGTGCGAGTCGTGGAATTCCTGAACTCTGAAGTCCAGAAAATTAACGGATTTTCCCCACCTCACCCCACCCCCCCGGCTCTGTTCACATTAACAAAAAAGGACACTTCAACACCTTCAGTTGTGGTATTATCTTACGAATAAACCTTTTTATATAAGAAAAGAATAAAAAGCTTTACAGCTATGTGTTTAGTGGCAGAGAATGTATGACGTTTGTGGACATAATATTTTTGTTCCTGTTTGCTTTTCAGCCAACCAGGAAGTCTTAAATAAAGTAGAGGTTCAGTATGAGACACTCCCAGGATGGGATACAGACATATCAAATGCAAGGACGTTTGACGAGCTGCCTGTAAATGCACAGAACTACGTTCGCTTCATAGAAATGGAGTTGGGTGTTCCTGGTGAGTAAAAAAGGGTTTGCTGGTTGTTTGGATTTTACCTGCTCCATGAAACCTACCTTCTACTTTGTCCTAATGAACATACGAAATACTGAAAACTAGTTTGTAGCTGTGCTTATTCTGATGTACCTGGTGATACTAATAATTATTGCTTTGCTTATTTTATCTATCTATTTAGCTGTTGAATTGAAAAATTTCAGAAACTTTAATATGCATTCTCTCTTTGGCTTATGTAGTTCGTGTTCAACTGAGATTTTAATGATGTGTTTCTCACATTGGTTATAATAGAGGTTTAGTTCTGCTGCAGTTAGAAAGTCATTGAGACGACTGGTATATTAATTGCATTAAATATATGTAACGGTAAGAGGTCCTAAACTAACAAATTTTTCTTATGCTCCTTAATAAAGATCTGGTTACATCCAAGGCTGGGAGTTAGGAGATGATGCGTATCTTTACTTTTCTGACAATTTCTATGTATCTTTTTTTCCTGTGATCTGGAGGCTTATCTAGTTGTTATGGCAGCTTCAAGACCTTCAAGTTTGTTCCTGCTCTTCTAAGTTACCAATGAATGCATTCTTATGTTGAGAATAATAGCTATAGTTATTATTTCTTAATGTACTAATGGTATATGCTGTGTTTATCTTAAGGCTATGATACTTAAAACCTTAAGCGCTTAAGAAGATAAGTTTGTATCTTAAGATACAATCCGATCTTGCTTTGTATTACTTATTCTAAGTTTGCTTTTCTCTCCTGCAGTTAAATGGATTGGAGTAGGGAAGTCCAGGGAATCAATGATCCAGCTGTTTTAAAGATTTCAGATGCATGGAAGAAAGCACACTCCTCAAAAGACTGCTCATTCTTAAATGCATTAGTAGCCCGCAAAGCAAAGATGTTGGAAAGATAGATTCTTGCATGGAAAGAAATGCTAGAGTTGATAGCCCCAAATCAATCGCTACTCCTGAAAGAGACTTTAACATGAACCTGTATCAATTCTTGTTCAACTGCAGTTTCCAGGACACTTGTCATTGTTGTTCAAGGTGCCATCAGATTTTTTTTTCTTTACCTAATACCTACTTCATAATGTAATTCCTGTTTGAAAATCTAAGGCAGCATTACTTTCATGACTTTGTCTTTGTTATCCTCTCTCTGCTTTCAGCGGTGTTACTTCCCTGAAATTTTAGACAGTAAAAATAATGCAGTTTTGCACAGATAGTTTTACATCCTCATTATTTGTATTCCTACAGCTGTTGTATTCTTAATGGCTGCTCTCGTGAGTGATTAAAGAGGGGGGGTTCTGATTTTATAATGCTATAAATGCTGTCTAAATTATTGTGTGATCTGTTTTTTTTTAAAAAAAGATGTGATGCCAAGTTGTTAAGAATGTCCAGGTGTTTTTTAGCTATGTGACACAGAAAACTTATTCTTTGTAACTCACAGAGGACTCTTAAGTGTTTACCAGGAAGTGTGCCCAGAAAGTTGGAAAACTGATATTGTAAAAAGTTCATTTGCAATTATTAAAGAACCATTCTGATTTTGAGTTAAATGTTTTATAATGTTACTAATTTTTTTTCTGGTATTTTAAAAACCCTGTACTTCCCTGCTTCCCAGGCACATATCTCAAACTGTTTCCCTAATTAAATGAGGTTATATTTATATTTGGTGAGAAGTCTAACATTTTGATGCCCTTTTAAATTCCTTTCTATGTAGCCAATAGAAGATCTTTCTCTGGAGAGCTGGCAAAGCACAGACACTTTTGTAATTATAAACTGAAGATGCTTCAGAAATAACATTTAAACTATTCAACGTATTTGCTTTGGGGAAAGGGAATATAACAAGTATTCACCTCGACATCTGACATATTTTGGCTTATTAGTGTTGGGAAATGTTCTAAGATTAATTTATAACCATTATTATATACTCCAAAGAATCTGATTTCTTTTGGCAACAGCCCAATAATTACATACTCCCTTTCCAGATTTTTTGAGAATTACTTTGTTTTTACACACTGTACTATGGTATTCATGTGCTTCCTTTTTGCTTAAGAGAAAACATAATTTGTTTCCTAAAAACAAGTTCGTGTCAGGGCGGGGCAGTAGTTTTAGATTTAGTTTAGTAGATTTTGGCTACGCAGGTGAATATAATAAACTTTTAAGGCACATAAAAGATATGGCACCTTCCAGAGAATGTCTTAGGTAACCAGATGTTGCCTGAAATAAAATAGCTTTGGATGGATGCTGCTGTTGAGGTATTCAGCGCAATGTTTATGTTCTCAATTGACATGAAATAAAATGGCTTGTCAACAGGGAAGGAACAGGAGGGCTAAAGGATAAAACATTTTAAAACTGTTTCAAAATATTTAAGGAGCATTTTCAATCTAATTGTTTGCATGTGACAGAGCAGTTACCAGGGGGTGTAATATGTGAAAAGAGGAGGATACTGCAGCATGCTGGAAAATTGGTGAATACTTTTGAGAAGCCTTTGTATCAACATTGCATGTAAAAATCATTCTCTTTGGCATTATAAAACAATTTAATGCTCAGTTTTTTCTGGAGGGGATGTGGGTCTAGTTTTGCTGTCAGCCTTGCAGTCCAGGGAGAAGCATACCATTCCTCCCTAGCTGATCTGAAAAAATTTCTTCCTAATTCCCTGATGAACAGAAGGAGGGATGTAACTGTGAAACATAAATTCCAGTGCTCATGTAGAAGGAAAAAAAATAATTACTATTTTCTAGGCGATGGAGGGAATTGACTTTGCAATATGAACAGTAGGTAATAATAACTAAGTATTCTTGTCTTCCTGTAGCTGTAGGAGGCACCAAGGGAATTTGTGCTGTCAGTGAAACTACCATCCAAGGACTGGGGGCTTAGCTGGTTCAGGGAGAGAGTAAATAAGTGAGGACATGCTTTCCTTCTATAGTGAGTGTATAAATGAGGGCTTACTATGTAGTTGTGTGTCACCTCTGCCAGGCAGACACCTTCAAGTTCAAGGCCTGTTTCAATTCTTCCATTGTTGTAATTCCACTGTACAAACCACTCGTTTTTTGGTTGAAGAATTCATATTCCCAGATGCAGCAGGATTTCTAAGCAGTGATGCAAACTATTTGTGCAGTTAAAGAAACAAAACAGAATTGTCTTGGATGCAAGTGTGATTTATGTTCTTTTGCTTTCTTTTAAGTTCACTGAGCTTTTTCTTTGATCCTTCGACTCAGGTGCAGGCCTGGAAAGTTGAAAACATCCTACCAGTACGTGTCCAGATAATGTGTGGTCCAGGATCTGTTGGTGTATATTTGCACTCATGACCTGGAATGAAGAAGTTTTCACTTTACATTTCAGGTGGTTAAACTTGGCACTTGTAAAACATGTTGTATTGTCCCTGAATGCCAGTTTTGCCTAAGTTTTCCTGGAGTGAATTCTTGGACTGGTGCACAAACACTTCCAGGTGTCAAAGAATGATTATAGAATGGTTGTACCTTGCCAGATTTCAACACCTCCCTCCCCCCCCTCCCCCCCAAAAGCTACTTTCACTATCCCTCATTTCATTTGTATGTATAGGGAAATAAGCTGGGGTGCGTTACCACCAACCTGAATGTTGTGGAAACAAATACTTGAAGTTACGGAGACTGTTTAAAGTGCTGTATGCTCTGCTCTTGAAACTATGCTGTGTTCAACTGTGGAAGCAAGGAGGAAGAAGGGAACAGTAGCCTCATACTCCTGCCACCAGCTGTGTGTTTAGCAGGGGCAAAGTTAAATGGCTTTGAAGGCAGTTGTAGTTTTTTCTCTAGACAAAACTCACTGTTCTGCTCCCCCCACCCCCGTCATTAGTCAGGAGCCCTTCGGCCTCAGAGGAATTGCCATGGTCACTTGCAAAAGGCTTTTGCTTGTCTGTCACAGGCTAGTAGTAAGTTGTAATAAAAGGAAAAACCTTTGTACTTCAATGACAAGCGTGTATTTCTCAGGCCCTTCCTGTATATTCCCTTCCTCTTTGAAGTCCCTTCTGTTGCTAGCATGTAAGGGGAGAGGATTGCAGCATAAGATGCTGAAATCGATTCCTCTCCAAGTGTCCCCTCCCGCTAATGGGATGTTTTCAGGAGGCACAGATACCTGTTAGACCTGACAAGGCTGATGACAGACAAGGTATTTTGATCTCACACCATTCTTGCTGCCACTGAAATATTTATGAGGCTGTTTCTCCTAGGCTTGTGCTGTACTGCAGTATTTAATAGCCCGTATGTCCCTTCAGCTTAGTGAGCCTCCTTTACTAACTAAATAGGAGAGGAAGTGAGGGATACTTCTGCTGCTTTAGCCTTTCCGTTTGTCTTCCATGTGTAACTGGGTTTTGGCATGCAGCTAATGGCCAAAACCTTCGGATAAAGTGGCAGACAGATAATGTTGATGGTAATGCATGACAGCTGTTTTCATCTGTCATCATCCTGGAAATCTCCTTTCTAATAGAAGATCATAGTTCCCTTTTGCTGTCACAGCCAGCTCCCTTAATGAAATGTAATCAAAGGTTTGGCTGGTTTAGAAAAAGTAAAATGTGAAGTAGCTGGGAATGAAGATGAGAGACAGCTCAGTCTGGTGCGTTGTCTCCCACCCACACTGTTTCTCCAAAACAGTGAACCTGAATAAACCTAGTGGTATAGTTATCAAGCACACTTCTTTCGGTGCTTGACAGCTTTAGCTACTTACAGCAGGCTGCATAGACAGATGTTGCATTATTTGCAGAGACTTAAAGTTTGAAACCATTCTTCATTGGTCTGAGTGTTATGTCTTACTTGACATGTCATCTTCAAAATAGCTTGCAGTAAATAGACACTCAAATATCTCTCATTCACCTTTAAAGCGATGATGTGGAGTTAAATCCTGTTGTTCTTCAGTGCCACTTTAGAACTATTAAATGTAATTTCTTACACTATGGGGTTTTTTTTTTCCAGTAATGAAGCAATCTGTGCATACATTTAGGTACTTTTTAACTCACTGCTGGTATTTTCTAGAGTGTGTTTGAGTATTCTTGGATAATGATTTGCACAACTACAACTAGTTTGCCTCTTCCCATTTCTTGGTTGTTTTCTGCATATTACAGAGGGAACTGGGGTACCCAAGTGTTTGTAGTGGAGAGAGGGCATGGCTTTGGGGGGCAGGTGGCAACTCATTTTTGGAAGAAGAGATGACTCTTGACTTCTTTTCTCTCTGCAGTTTAGGACTCATGTTTACAGCAGAACAAACATCCCAAGTTCAATTTCTGCACCCCTTTCAACAGGAAGACCAGCATGGGTTACTCGTGCTGAAATATGGCAAGTCAAATGCAGCTTCATATGAAGTTTGATTGTGCTAGTGGCTAGCGGTCGTCTTCATTATTTTTGGAAAAGGCATGGAGAGCTGAATTGTCAAAGTCAGGATGAAATGGAGTTTCAGCTTCATAGTTTACTGGAGCTGGTTGCAGTTTACTGAAAGGTCTAGGCAGAAAGCATAAATCATTCTGTAATCTCATGCCGACATATGGTATGTAAATACCATGATCCACCCAAAGGGTAGCCAGCATTATAAATGT